GCTTGGACAGATGGAGCATGTGATTGATGGCAGCTGAGCGGCTACACGTCTTGGCCTAATGTACCCCAAGAACAGAGTTGGACAAGGTGCAAGCCTCTCAGATCCAACACACACAACATGATCAAGCTAGTACTCATGACTCTGTTGTGTTGCATGTTGTAGGTATGTATGTGCCCTGATCCAATACACATCCGAGGTTGCTGTGCTTTTGGCATAGTATCTCAGGTCGGAATAGTAGATTTTGCTTCAATCCGAATTCACTTGGTTAATTTCTGCATAAGCAACAGTAATTCCTGAACAATGTTTCTTTTGGAAATAAAAAACTTCAAGTCAGATAATATGAGATGGGATGAAGAGATACACAGAGAGTGGTGATGGTTTGCGGAGGACTCGCACGGTCCACATTGCTAGGTACCAACAAACTAGCGCGCGCATCCTATCATGGGAAAAGTTCAAACGCGACCGAGTATCCAGCCTCAATATTACAAACACCAACAACACGTCAACATGCTCTGTGCAATCTCCGGAGAAGCTCCCCGCGAGCCTGTTGCCTCGCGCAAGTCGGGCAACGTCTTCGAGAAGCGTCTGATTGAAGCGCACATCGCAGAACACCACACCGACCCGGTTACGGGAGAAGACCTGGCGACCGAGGACCTCATCGAGCTCAAGTCGCCCAATGTCGTGACCCCACGCGCGCCCAACTTCACCTCGATACCTGCCATGCTCAGTGCCTTCCAAAATGAATGGGACGCCCTGGTACTAGAGACACATACGCTCAAGCAGCACCTGGCGCAAACGAGGCAAGAGCTGAGCACCGCCCTGTACCAGAACGACGCCGCCACACGGGTAATTGCACGGATAACAAAAGAGAGGGACGAAGCGCGCGAGGCTCTGTCAAATGTCACCATCAGCGGAGGCGCCCAGGGTGATGCCATGCAAGTCGACAACCAGGGCCTGCCTCAGGATTTGATCAAGGTGGTTGACGACACACAGCAAGAGTAGGCATCTAGCACGCGACCTAGACAACATATACTAACATGGCACAGATTGTTCGGTTCGCGCCGAAAACGAGCTGTACCAGAGGGCTGGGCCACTGGTGGAGTTATCACCAACTACGACCTGGTCAAGTCAACAGAGGCTATATACCCAGGTAGCAGCAACATTGCCGTACAGGAAGGCGGTCTGGTCTTGTTTGGTGGATCAGACGGGACAGCTGGCATCTATGCGCTGGCTGAGGGCAAGGTTACACAGACCTTCAACGCTGGTAGCGCCATCACAGCAGCAGCTTGGTGTGGAGGCCGTGCGGTTGTTGGAACTTCAGCTGGTGTAGCCAAGATTTTCGAGCAAGGCAACGAGGTTGCCCAAGTAGGATCGCATGCTGGAGCTGTTACATCCATTTCCGTCCACCCCAGTGGAAAGATGCTCGCAACAGCGGGTGCAGACAAGCACTATGCTGTTCACGAACTTACTTCGTTCAAGACCGTTTCCCAGGTCTACGTCGAAGCGGAAATCACATGCGTTGCCTTCCACGTGGATGGTATGCTCTTCTTTGTTGGAAGCTCCGATGGCAATATCCGCATCTACGATATCAAGACTGGCGCTGCTATGGCCCAGCTAGAAACAGGCGGCCCGATTGTGGACCTCAGGTTTGCTGAAAATGGTACTTGGTTCGCTGTTGCGCAGCAAGGTTCTACCAGCGTCTCTGTTTGGGATATCCGGAAGCAAACAGTCATTTACACCCTCGAGTCCGGAAGCCCGGTCACGTGCTGCGAATGGGACTATAGCGGCATGTATCTGGCGATTGGTGGCACTGGTAGTGTGTCGGTGCAGCAGTTCACAAAGGCAACCAAGAGCTGGGCCGAACTTGTGAGGAAGGCATTACCAGTCAAGGACGTTGCATGGAGTGGAAAAGCCGAGAGTGTGGTAGCTCTGACACCAGAGGGTGGTTTGGCGGTATTGGCTGCTCCTTAGGCTAGGACGCAGTACTGATTGAACTTGTAATACTATAAGCTCAGAACCAACTGGAGCGCTATTTTTGGAAAGACTTGTTGGTTTAGAGCGACAAGTGCAAAGGATGAAAAGCTGAGGAATTATGAGCAAATGGCAGAGGCCTTTGGATTGGACTACTTCCGAAGGTTGTGGAAGAGTGCAGTTTGGCTTAGAATGGTTGAAGCATCAACCAAGACGGTCAGCTTCGGGGCGACCATATTCCTGGTCGAAAAAAGAAAACATTCAAGGCGCAAACTGGGTTGTAGTGATAATGCAGAATATGGGGTGTGCTGGCCTCAGCTTAGCAATCAAGAAGTCATTTCCGGCGTGTTGCTGACTGCGAGTACGAGTACTACTACGTCACATTTCCTGCGAATGAATGCTATTAGGCTTGGGCAATGCAAACTGAATGCTGCAATGGTCATTAATGCGGTAAGATGAATGGAAATGGTGGAGCCTGGCGGAGGGATTGTCTTTATTTTTTCTTTGTCCAATGTCGATCCGGGCGGTAGTGAGGGTGAGGGCGAGAGACGGGGGTGACGTTTGTTATGTCGGATCGCTCCCGAAGCGCCATGCAATGATTGCCACCAGGGACAACGAGTTTCGCCGACGTTAACACACCAGCGCTACGACACGACGGCCCGCCCAACTCGACGCCGTCCACTCTCTGCTGGCTGTTCTTCTCGCCAGGTGCCCCGCACATTCACGACTCCCTACGCCACACACACACACCACATAGCCCGTCGCTGGAATGGAAGGGGAAGAGCTGCCGTTTGGGTACACGCACAGACGAGAGAAGGTGAGTGCCGGCCCAACGGGCGAAGCTTGCGGCGGCCGAGCACCGCGACGCTAACAAAGACTCGGTCCAGCGCTCGCATGAACAAATGGATGACGACGATGATGAGGGCTCGGCCTCACCTACGTGGAGATACAACCCCTTCCCGGACATACGCCCTCACCAAACTCAGCCGCGCTTCCCCTCGGGCCTCCCGCTCATCGAACACCTCCCACGCCCCACCCACTATGACCACGCTCAAGACGCCGCCCACAATAACTACGAGGAACCACACGCCCGCCATAATCACTTTCAGCAACCTAGAAGAGCGCCTGCTTTTGAGTCCGCCCTGCGCGCAGCCCGACCTCCTATAGAACGCGCCTCATCGTCCACCGCCACGCAATCACGCCCTGCGGGACTCCACCTTCCCAGGATGGAAAACATGGCTTCTTCGGCTTCAGTGCGCTTCCCCGGAGACGGCTTCGACTACCGACGGCCAGCTGGATCATCAAGGGAACCTGATGTTGGATCTGTTGACCTAACAGGGGAAGAGGAAGATGTGGGCCCGGACTTGAGCAGGGTTGACCAAGACGACAATGGTGACCACGATAACCATGATGACGACGACGACGTTATCATCGACCTCACCGCCGACGACTCTGGATATGGAGCTAGTCAGGATGGCAACAGCGGCCGGCAACGACATGATCATGTTGAGCGGCAAGACCCGAACCGTGCTCGTGCAAATGGAGGACCCCGCTTACCGCGGGGCATGGATATCATAATTGACCTCGACAATGGTGAAGAAGAGTGGAGAATGGCCACACCAGCTCCTGAACCAAGTTCCCCTGATATTGAATTCATTTCTTCCCGGACAATCAACCCCAGACGCCTGCCACCACCAAATCTTGCCGGCAACAACTCCGACGGGGACGAGGTCGAGTTTTTACGAGAAAACGCTCTGCCAGAGGCCGAAATTCGACGGCGCAGGACTCGAGAGCTCGACAATGTCTTGGATCTTTTCGGTACGCTTAACGGTCGCTTCACACATCTTCGGGCTCAAGTCGATCGTTTCAATGCCCAGATCAACCGCACCGCGGGCCGCTTCCATGAGCCTGTTGCTCCTCACCGGAATCCATCCCGAGGCCATACACATATCCGTTTGGGCTTCATTACACCTGTCATGGACTTTGAGGGTACTGGCTTCAACTATGGGCAGGCAGCACGCGAAGCACCAGCACCTCCACCTACCTATGAGGCGCCACCTCAAGCACCTGAGGGTTTCACGAGGAGCCCGGAAGAGGAAGGTGCGCTTATCTGCCCAAATTGCGAGGAAGAGCTGTGTGTGGGTAGCGATGAGATCAAACGACAGGTGTGGATTGTCAAAGGCTGCGGTCATGTAAGTCAATTTTTTTACTCATGTTGGAGTTTGCAACTAACATACATAGGTCTACTGTGGAGAATGTACCACGAATCGTGCTGCTAAACGTACTGCAAAGGGCAAAGAAAGGCCGGTCAGCACCAACCCGTTCAAGACCTGTGTCGTCGAAGGCTGCGACAAGAATGTATCAAACAAGAAAAGCATGATTCAGGTCTTCCTTTGATGGTCTGAGACTCTGAACCATGAGAGCTGTACCTGTCGGCAGCGTCCTCGTTTATTTTCCTTTTTCGGGAGGTCACAATTTCGGCTGAGTTATACTTGGGATGTTCAACGATACCCAGGCTTGCATTCCTAATCTCGGTTTTCTTTGCATCCTACAAATCTATCTAGGCTTTTCTACTGCGGCGTTTCTGTCATTTGCTGCATTGCATACTTGGGCGTTATGGGGTTTAGCATTTCTTCTATCAATGCCGTAGTCAGCTCGACGAGTCTAGCTCTTTCTTTCTTTGTAAGATTCGAATGTCACGTGGAATGCATGAACTTGTACATCGTAATTTTTTTGTGATATCCATCACACCTGAATCATTTGACGATAAATCATTCGGATACCGAAGTTAAAAGGATAGAGCTGTAAAAAACGTGCCATGATCTCATCGCACATGATATCCCGGCACCGGCCACGCCAAGCGAGCAGGGGTTCGCCAGGAACGCAAGCCGAGGCCTTTTGTCGAAATGTTGTAGCTCAGAGTGTTAGGCATACGTAGACTCTTTGCAGCCAACCTCACATTTTTTATATACTGCCAATTCCTTCCTCCTTTCTTCGTAAAGAGAAACTGCTACAACGACAAGATCACAATGTCGTCTAAATCCACCACAGGGCGGGCCGCTGCACCAAACGATCAGAGGCCTGCGAAGCAATCGGGAGCGAAGAACGCCTACCTCCTTGCTTACAATGCCGTATCTGCCGCGCTATGGGCAGGCGTTCTTTACCAGACCGCCACCATCGGAGTCAATGAAGTATTGAATGCACACAAGGCGGTTGCGTTCTTCGGCAACGGTGACTGGCCCACTGCGATACAGAGAGGACTATCGAGTGCAAAAGTATACGACAACCTCGAATACTACACAAGGACTGTGCAGAGCCTGGCAGGACTCGAGGTACTTCATAGTTTGGTTGGTACGTTTAAAAACAGAAGAATTGGATTCGAGTGCAAATGGCTAACATATAGATTAGGCATCGTCAGAGCACCTCTCTTGACTACACTCATGCAGGTTGCTTCACGCTTCTTGCTCGTCCACCTCATTGCCTCGCCCTACGCTTTCCCTTTCTCAACGCGCCATTCGCCAGCCTATACCACCATGTTGCTCGCATGGTCTATCACAGAAGTCATCCGTTACTCGTACTTTGTCTTCTCTCTAGCGGGGGCAGGAGTACCGAAGCTCTGGACATGGCTGAGATACAACACCTTCCTCGTGCTCTACCCGCTAGGCATCTCGTCCGAATGCTGGTTGGTGTACCAGGCCATCCCGCTCGCAAGCCAGAGGAATGAATTGTTTGGGTACGCGCTTTGGGCTATCCTGGCCATCTATGTGCCCGGATCGTACATCTTGTTCTCCCACATGTTGGCGCAGAGGAGGAAGATTGCTAGGCAGAGCAGGAAGGCGTGAGAGACCTGTTTGAAAAGGGCTTGAGAAGGCTGGATATCTTCACCGATACATGGAGTTCAATAGAGGTTGAGAAAGGTTTCGAGATAGGATGTTGGAAACCATATGTGTATGTTGATATCTTACATATCACACAATAATATACGAATGCCATAGCTTTACTCCTTTCCGCCTTCCTTGGGTCCTGTCTGCGCGTTCCTCTCTCCAACATCTAGCGCAACGAGAAAACGGCTCACGCAGTTGTACGCTGAGATTGTGGCTGTTATCTCAACGACCTCGCGCTCACTGAATGATTTTTTGAGTTCCGCGAATATAGCATCAGGAACTTGGACATCCAGCGTCATGGCGTCTGTGTAAGCTAGTAGTGTAGAGAGAGAAGTGCCCAAGACATCTACCAAGGGTGAACGAGGTGGAGATTTCAGGACTGCCTCCACTTGTTGTGGGGTAACGTCTGGGGCAATTAGTCTGGTGAACAATGCGTAGTGATTTGAGGAAAACAAGTACCTGATGCAGATGAGAGAATAGGAGAGTGCGATTCCCACTCATACCATGCTCGGTTCAGAACCGCGACCCGGCAGATAGCCGTTTCACGGATCGCAGTGGGGAGACTGGTCTTTGTGCGGATGGAGCCCAGGAATGAGTTCCTAACACACAGACAATCAACACCCGAAGACAAGTGAGATCAGTTGAACACGTCTTTTCTACTTACCATCCATCAGCCACTGGCGGAGAATGCAGCAACGTCCGATCCAACGCTATCAACCCCTTCTCACCCCGCCTCTCCCTCACCCGCTGCTCCACCGCTTTATCCTCTTCCGACGTGAAATTCGGGGGATCGGGCACGTATGAGAGACGCATGTTTGGGGGGGAGGAAATCCGTGATAATCAAGAGAGAAGGAAAAGATGTAAATTACCAGCTTTCACTTCTTTTTTTGCAGATATTTAAAAAGAGACACACCGGTGACTCAAACTTTACACACGACATGTGCCCCACCGGACCCCGAGGGGTCGGGGTTAAGCACGTATCGCGCCCATCGGAACGGGTGTTCCGAAGTGGAGATTTCGTAGTAACGTGAGTAAAGTAGCGGCGAATCAAAACCCTGTTTTTTTTGGCTCGCTTAGAAAGTCGTAAGTAACAATTATTTATCGATAAAGAAGAAGAAGAAGGCACTTTTTGTATCCCGCCCCTCTGGCTTTCCCTTCCCCCTATTCTCCCATCCTCTTTCACTTTAAATTAGATTCGGTATAGGATTTACGATTTTTTATCTTTATTTTGAACCTGTTGTTTGGGTGGGTTGGGGAAACAATGGCCCCGAATTCAAAATTAAATGCAAAGCGCAAGGCGCAAAGGGAAGCCACCAAGGCTCCTAAACCGCAATCAAAACAGCGCTCGGGGGAAGAAGGAGGGAAAAGCGAGGCGAAGGCGCCGACGATTCTGATTGAACTCCAGCAGATTTTGCTGAATATATTCCGGAATTCATTTGCGGAGCGGTTGAGTGTTGATTTTGGGCCGCTCTTGCAGGAGGTCAAGGGGCATTTGTTTAATCGGGATTTTGCGGCAGCGTTTGGCAAAGAGGAGTATCTCGAGATGTATGCGGCGAGGTGGAGTCCGAGTCGCGCGTTGGGGTATCTGGATTTGTTTTGGGATTTGAGGCAAGATCTGGGATTTGGCTTGGAAGAACCAATACCCGATGGATCGGATAGTGCTAAGAGTCGGAAAGTTGTATGTTTGGGTGGTGGAGCTGGAGCGGAAATTGTAGCCTTGGGGGGATTGCAGAAGCTACTTTTGGATAAGATTTCGGAACAAAAAGAGGGGGAAGATGAGAAGGTGGTAGATGCGGGAAAGATGGAGGTTACAGCTGTTGATATTGCGGACTGGAATGTGGTAGTGGAGAACCTGGCAAAACACCTTACGACTGCACCAACACTGTCAAAGTACGCATCCGCTGCTGCAAAGGCGGCAAATGTACCTTTTCTGGACCAGGATCAGATATCGATTACTTTCGCCCAACAAGACGTCCTAAAGGTGTCTGCATCGGAAATGACGTCGCAACTAGCAGACGCAAACCTAGTCACTCTGCTCTTTACCCTCAACGAACTCTACTCCACATCCCTTCCTCTAACACAGAAATTCCTCCTCCAGCTCACTTCAATAATGAAGCCCGGATCACTCCTTCTAGTCGTTGATAGCCCTGGAAGCTACTCCACCGTCACGCTCAACGGAGCAGAGAAAAAGTACCCAATGCAATGGCTTCTCGATCACACGCTCCTGGACCAAGCCAGCAGCAATAAGCATGAGAGGGGCAAAGAGGAGATTGCGAGTTGGGAGAAGGTAAAGGAGGATGATAGTCGATGGTTCAGGTTGGATGATAGGCTAAGCTATCCGATTGAACTTGAGAATATGCGGATGCAGATGCATCTGTATCGACGACTTTAGCAAAAGTATCGAACCCCCTTGGTATTCGATGCGATAAAACGCACGCTATTAATCCTGGAACATTCCCCAATTCTACATCTTGGCAGTCATTTTCGACACTCCACCAGCGTCAAGAACTAAGCGGAAAGCTGATAACAAAAGAGAAGGGCAGTTCCCAGGAGGACCAGCCCCCACAAAACAGTAAAAAGAACGCTACATTATCTCAGCATGAATTAACGCGAAACCGCCCTCGCAGGCGAAAATAAGTCTTCTTTTAGGCGCTTCACACCCTTTCGAACTCGAAAAATCTCCATCTAAAGAAAGAAAAAACCCCGTCATAACTTCCCTCTACTTCTCCCCACCATGCACCTCAGTACAACTCCACGCCCTCTCCCTCTCCCTCCCACCGCCATACATCTCCTCGGGCCTCCGTACCCTCTCATCCGCCCGCTCCATCCTTACACTCGACCGCGACAACTCCTTGGTAACCAGAATGCTTTTCAAACTGTGGTCTTCCTGTACGCTGCGCAGGCTGGCGGTGCTGCTACTAGGGCTCTTAGGTGTTTCGCGGAGACGCGACTTTTCGTAGCGGCGCAGGCAGACGGCGATGAGGGGGACGGTTAGGATGAGGAAGACGATGGCTATGACGATGCCGATGATGGCGCCGGGACTGAAGCCGTCGCTGCGGGAGGGTGTGTTTGAGGAGAGGGCTGGTGGTGCGTCGGGGATGTTGGAGGTATTTGGTGTGGGTGCCATGATGTGTGTATGTATGTGTGTGTGTGGTTTTGTTGGTTGTTGGTTGTTGGTAGATTGGTGAGTGTTGATTGCTTGATAGCAGGATACGCGGTATGATGGTAATGATCAACAAGTCGTTGATATTCGTGCAATTCGTGTAATTGGTTGATGTGATGTGATGTAGCGTGATAAGCCGTAAAGTGTTCTTCGGTAAAGACTGCGTTTACTTTTCGTCTCTCCCAGTTGCGGATGAAAGAGTGAGCAAGCGAGCGTGAGAGTGAGAATACGCCTGGGGTTTCAGAAAAGACAGTCGCGCACCAAACGTGCAAATGAGGAACACAACAACAACAAATAACGCGGGATGATCTTTTGAGCTGCAAGGGCAAGCAGACCAGACAAAAAGGTTTAAAAGAAAGAAAAAGAAGGGTACACAAGGGAATTCAAATAGTGGGAACACGAGGGGGTGCCGCCCATTTTCCCTTTAAAGAAACAACAGCCTCCATGAACCGCATTCCAGAACTTCCGACATCTCACACACCGCAACGACTCTCGTTGAGTGGTGGCCTTGGACAAAGGATTTGCCCACACCCCAGCATACTACCTTTCAGCTGCCGTCCATACACAGCGTCCCACGCCGCTAGCGCCCCCAAACGCACATGTGTTGCGGCACGAGAATTGGTCGCTCGCCAAAGTTAGTGGCGTTTACAGGTGGCGAATCAGCGGGGTTCCATGTACAACTTTCTTGCGCCAAGGACCTTTTTTGCTGTGCTGGCCGCCTTTTGCGCGCATATAGGTAGCCCGCGCGCAAGAAGGTACCCGTGTGGGTTGGTCATGCGCCGCTCCAGCAAAGCAAATGGGGCTTCGCCTTTTTGGCCGAGGGTAAGGCGGAGGGAAAAGTGCCATTTCGGAGGAAAGGGTGCTGGAGGTGCATGCGAGGAAGTAAAGTTGGGCTAGGGTTAAAAGTAGCCAAGGAACCGGGGTTTATTGACTGTAGCTGGAGGTTTTGGGCGGGGACCTTTTTTTACCCCTCATTCTCTTTGCGTGGAAGCGACGGTTAGATGATTTTGGCATTCCGAGGTTAGGCGCTTTTTTTCCCCTTAGCATAGTGTTTAAGGTGTTTCTACTGGTTTCACTACTCCGGTGCATTGTTAGCTGAATGAATTTAAACTTTGTGTTACGCATGGTTGGTCCGGGATGGCTAACGGTTACTAAAATATCCGAGATGGATATAGTTCGGGTCTGGTCTGGTCGGTGGTTTTGTTCGTTTGTGAAGTAGTTCCTGGGCTGGGGTAGATGATTGGACGAGAGCATAAACCGAGTTGCATCGGTAGTTCTCTTGGATTTAGAACGTAGCTGAAGAGTAGGAGAAATCGCAGACCCCTTTGGCGTTCTATGAATTGATTTGCTCGAATTCATAATGTTCAGCAAACTTTCTGCGTACGTCCCATGGACGAGGATAAGAAAATCGCGCTTCACTGCTTTTTCGATAGTTTCTATCTCAAGTGTAGTCGAATGAACGTATACGTAATCTCTTTCTACTCTCCTCGCGCTAGCCTCATGGGCATCCAAACAGTATAGGCAAATAGAGACACATGGTCCAACCCCTACTAAATGCCTTGAGCACGAAACCTTTAAGAGTGATTGTAATAATTTTGGCGTGCGGGAACGACCGTACTTGCCAAGACACAGGTTCGCGAGGTTTGTTTCAAGGGTCTAGATGAGATCGAGATAAACTGTGGATACGATGTCACGAGCTTGTGGAGCAGTGGCCTGAGAAAAGATTATTTGGCAGTTACAACGCGTGTCCAAACGATTCCAATGATTCGCGCGAGGAAACTACCAGGGTCGTTCGCGACTATGACTGGTTCTTGATCTCCATGTACTTGAACCAATCAACGATCAAAGAACCACCCAAGAGCGACAGAGAATCCTTGCGCAGCGACTAGTGGCATTTCGACAATACATACCAACGGCATACCTAGAATTGAATCTTACAACACTAGACATATGTTACATACATTCATTATAAATGTTTCCTACGATGGACATCATGTCCATCAATAAGCATAAAACACATTAACCCCATCCCTTCGTAGCCGCTTATTCGTAACTTGAAGCCATATCCTCAATGCCCAAGCAGACGCAATACACGCCGCTGAAAACGCCGCATTACTACTCATAGCAATGACGTACTTGGGGCCGTCGCTCTCGGGGTACAAATAAGGTGTGTAGATGAAACTCGCCATCGAAACGACATTGACAATCGACAATGAGACGGCTTTCTTTTCAGTAGTTTGTCCGAGTGTACCAGAGACCCAGCCTAGAATGACGGAATTGACAGAGTAGACACCTGTGTGAAGAGGTCAGTAAAAGGCAACTAGCATAGTAGCTATGTGTGTTGGGTACGAACCAGATGCGAAGAGGAAGCACGATACATAGCGTGCGGCAAGGTTAAGAGTAGCAGCACTGATCGCGAAACCAATGACGGCGAGACCCATCATGACGGTGATATGCCATGTTCTATCGTTGTATTTTCCGGATGAGATTCCAACGCAGATACCGACAACGCCCGCAACTAGTGACGGTGGAGCCGTTAGAACTAGAGTGATCGTCCTGTTGAAGCCTAGAGATTTGACGACCGTAGGGAAGAACTAGTCATCATAAGTTAACAATAATCTCACGCAAAATCAGTCCGCATAGACGTACCTGGTTGAACGAAGTGGCGCTCAGATGCATGTTCTGCATGAAAACAAGCAGGTAGAGACGAGGATCGCGAAGTGCTTGCATAAAGCCCGCTCTTGATCCCTTGCTCGGCTCAAGACCAACAGTGTCCCTCTGAATACGGTCGTGGGCCAATTGGCGTTGTTCAGGTGTAAGCCACTTCGTCGTCAATGGCTCATCAGGCAGCAAGAAGATGCAAACGATCGATACGCCCACCGTAACTATTCCCTCGATAATGAACAGCCACTGCCATCTGTCACACGTGCATTAGCATTTCCCCTGGCCCCCTTCCTGCGTAAACGGTAATCCACTCACCCATGCATCCCATGCTTATCACTCAACGTCGCAAACACCGCCGCAGCAATCAGCCCCGCAAACGACACTGCAAAAATATTCCCGGCATAAAGAATAGCCACTCTTGTCGCAATCTCCTTGCGTGTATAAAACATACTCAGGATGTACAGCGCTCCTGGGTAAAACGGCGCTTCAACGAACCCAAGGCAAAAGCGCACAAGCACGAGTCCAGTGTAGTTCTTGACCAGCGCGGTGAGGGCAGCCACGCAGCCCCAGACTGTGCAGCAAATGCCCATGTAGAGCGAGGGCCGCACTTTGCGCGAGGACATGAGCATGTTGCTGGGGATCTGGGCGAAGAGGTAGCCGACGTAGAGGATGGAGATGCACGTGTTGTACTGGCTGCCACGGAGACCTAAGTCTTTCTCTAGACCATCGAGGCGGGCGTTGGCGATTGCGTTTTGGTCGAGCTTGTTTCTTTGAAGCTGTTAGTTTTCGGTTTCGATGGAGAAGGCGAGAAAAAGGTAAAGTAGTTCGTACAGAAAGTACATGGCGAAAAGTGCTGGCATCACGCGCATGTCTAGCTTGCGCACCAGGGCGATCTCTGCTGGGTCGGTCTTCGCGACTGCGCCGGTATAATCAACACCCTCGGGTGTGCCCTTTTGTGCAAGGTCCTTTTCCGATGTTTCGACATCGTCAATGTGGAGGGGCACATCCTTCTCAGCGTCGTGATTGTAGTTGGTGCCAGCCATGATTAGCTGTTGTTGTTGAAAAGAAAAAAGGTCGGTCACCAACCCATGGACTGAAACAAAAGTCAAAAGGATCAAGGACTGAAACTTTTCTCTCTATATAATCAGGCTGGACAAATGTTGTACAGAAAGTCCTAAGTCTAAGCTCGATCCCGCACCTACCCCGGACTTTCCCCAGATCCCACGCTCTTGGGTGAAAAGCGGAGTAAACATGGGGAGGCGGGAAGGAGGCCGGAACTTCATGGGCCAGTCAAATTCTTTCTGAAGCGAATTTCATTGACTCGTAGCTACAACTTGATTTTGTGACGAAAGGAACTTGGCAACTTAGTAGAAAAGGCGGACAAAGACAAGTCCGGTGGATCATGCACGTGACATGGCTTGCACTGGTGGCAAGCCTTGGCGACCTACCAAGTCTCGATCCCCGCATTGTGGCATCAGGCTAACTTCTCCAGGCGCGTACTAACATACCTCCCCGTTGGGTTCGTGCGCACTTTCTCAAGTCCGTCTCTTGTTCTGCGTGAGATGCACGCTTACACATGGGGTTCAACCTTGTAACATGGTTAGAAATCCAATTAGGGTCAGCATTTTGCATTGCTATGCAACATGCTTGAGAGTGCATATAATGCAAGCTTGGATCCCGGGTTTTTCATAATAATCACACTCACAACTCTACACTCTTACAAGCAAACTACTCTTCTCTAAATCGTAACACCACTTCCACATATCATCACAATGGGTTCAATGCCAGAGGTCAAGAAAGCTCCTCAGATTGACCTTGCGGGTCTCGTTCCAGCCCCAGTTACGCCATTCAACAGGGATGGCTCAGTCGACTATGCTGCTATCCAACGCCTAGGTTCATGGCTCGGCAGCATTCCTGGCGTTAAGGGACTAGTAGTCCTTGGACACGCCGGCGAGGGTACTTTCCTTACTCAAGAAGAGCAAGTAGAAGTCATCAAGGCCTTTGTCAAGTCCGTCGATGACAAGATACCCATCATTGCGGGAATCACAACCGAAGGCACAGAGGTAGCAGCCCTCGAGGCTCAACGCGCAAAGGCTGCAGGAGCCAAGGCTGGTCTCCTGTACCCCAGCCATGGCTGGCTGCGTTTCGGATACCAGCCTGGTGCTCCACAAGACAGATACAAGACGGTGTACGAGAAATCTGGACTTCCTCTCATCTTGTTCCAATACCCCGACAACACAAAGGCGACCTACAACCTTGACACTCTTCTCGAAATCGCCGCACAACCCGGTGTTATCGCTATGAAGAACGGTGTCCGCAACATGCGACGATGGGACGTGGAGATTCCCATCATCAAGAAGCAAAATCCCGATTTGACTATCCTTACATGCCACGACGAATACCTACTACACACATGTTTCGATGTCGATGGCATGCTTGTTGGATACGGTAACATTGCACCAGAGCCACTCCTGGAGATGATTGAAGCTGGAAAGGCGAGGGACTATCCTCGCGCAAGAGCTATCCACGACAGATTGCTTCCTGTGACTAGGAACGTCTACCACCGCGGTTCGCACATGGAGGGCACAGTAGCACTGAAGCACGGACTGGTGGCGAGAGGTATCCTGGAACATGCGACGGTCAGGAGTGGGCTTCTGCCACTTCAGGATGGTGCGGAGCAGGAGATCCACGCTGCTTTCAAGTCGGCCTCACTGGGCAAGGTATCACCGCCCAAAAGCAGTTAGATAGAAGTGTTGATGTAGTTATCCATTTTATAATTTAACAGTTCTTTTCAAAGATTGGCTCTCACCGAAAACCGCCATTGTGATATCCCATATTTCCTGGCGGACCGAAATCTCTGTCCCACCAATAGTTCATGTCTTCTCCATTGAATAGGTGCATGATTTGTTCGTTTGGCAATGGGTTATCTGAGTCCTGGTGTGCGATACCAAGAAAGTTACCTGGGTCGGCAAGGTAGTCATATGTCGGGTTGTTTGCAGCTAGAGCATCCCCAATATCATGACTCGGGAAGTTGAATGAGCCTAGGTTGCTCATCATCATTGTTGGATTCGATTCCGCATGAGAATGAGTGGCGTTTCTTGGAGCCGGCTGAGAGTTTGTTGTCATACCCGTCGCCGGGTGGCTTTGCGTTGGATGTGTTGGTATGTCCTGTCGCTCTGAGAATACTGCATTCCCCTGATGGGCTGTTTGGCGATTGCCAAGCAGTGAAGAAGTTTCGCCAGTTGGCCTGCTGTCATTCACCGGGGCAGCTCCAGGTACGACAGTAGAGCTCCGAGTTGACGGCTTGCTCAATCGTGCTGTGAGATTTTGAATTGCAACTATACAAGCATCTGGCCATTTTGTGCCCCTCAATGCCAGGTGCTTGAGAATTTGTATGCTTCGATCAGAAAGTCGTGTTGCAATGTCTCGAGTGACCTGGCCTTCTGAGGCAGCGGAAAGAATTACAAATGTGCTCATCCACACCGCCCATGTGAAGGAAGGCCAAAGCAATGGGGTTCGTTCGTAGCCATGTTGACCAGGAGAACCATCGAATGCACCGAATCCGCGGAGAGCCTTGTGCAGAGTATTGATGATAGAGCGCGAGGCGGATATGCATCTTTGTAATGCCACGTTGTAAGCTGCATCCTTTTTAGAAATCGCCAGCACGGAGCGGTGTAGTGCTAGAATAGATTCGAAGCGAAGAACAATTAGAGTAACTTGGTGGGCCTTTGATATGTTCTGCACTTGCTCGTCATTGGAGAGATATTCGTCAACCATATTCCACCATCTGGTGTGCTCTGCCTCCCTTTCTAGGGCTTCTTCCGTCTCGTTTGCGCTCCCGTGTAGGAAAGTTCGGTGCCTCGTTTGCATGATGGATCCACGAATGTCAGCATGCTGAGCTAAGAAATCCAACAGATCTAACCGGTCATCCCGTTCATTACCTGGAAAATGATAAGTATTGATGCCATTCTAGGCCACGTCTCCACATACATACCGTCTCTATGCTCGCGATCATGGTGTCGTTCGGTATGTGGATAACATACATTAGCCTCATCCGAACGTATACCAAGTGGAGTCCCTAGTCGGATACAAATATGTCGATCTATACATAGTACAGACCAAAAGAGTCGTTTTCTCAACTCAGCTTCTTTATCAGGTACTGATCGTTGCGCCGGACAACGATGCAAACCCAATTGGAATGCCATCCGGACTGCCAGTCCTTCGAGGCGAGACGCAGCATTGTATCTATGCATTGTGATCAAGAAAAGCTGGATGCTGACCAACGCTTGCAGTGACAGGACCGAAGTCTCTTCGGTCAGAATCAACTGCGTACTCCGGATAGCATCATTGATTGAATGAAATACAAGATTGCTCGGTATGGCCTTTCTCGCGCTGTCAATTTGTCGCCGATCACATATCGATATCGACATGATTGAGCGAAGTATAATGTGCTGCAGCTCATTTGCTGTTGACAGCGTTGCAACACGTGGACCCCGTTGTATAATTTGGCGAAAGTAGTCCAATAGTGAAGGAGCGTGCAAGAAGGGAAATGCGGGATGCCAGTGATCGAAATACGCTTGGCTCCATTCGAGAAGATCTTCAAAGACGATTGACGGTGCAATAGTTTCTGGTGTTGGAGTAATTACTTCGCCGTGTTTCCACAGCCACCTGGATGCACTCTTGGACGCGCCCGCGGGTAGCTGATCTTCTTCGCCCGGCGCGGCATCACTCTCTGGTGTGTCAACAGGTCGGACTGATGAGTGAACTCCGACGGCATTTTCAATGATAGATGGTGGTCCAGCGTTGTTGGCTGGGCTAGTCCTAAACGTGCTGCGATCGTCGTCTTGTGGACTTGTTCCTTCTGCCCCAAACTCTCTCAACTGCTGGCCCATGGTCTGGAGAAATGCTCTGCGCTTCTTGGCACCGTTTGCATCAGATGCCGTCGCAGTGTCTACAGCTTCGCTGTGGGTCGCTCGCCGCTTGCTGGGAATCACGTGAACCTCCGCCATGACGCGTGAGACAGTACTATCACGCTCATGGGGCTCGATAGCGAAGAAGACCCAGTCCGACCTAGGAAAAGCTTTGTCGTAATGGAATTTGCTGAAGTTGATACAAGCGTGATGATGGTGAGCGCGAACAAGAATGAACCATGCAAAACTGGGGTGGAAGCTGTGACGCTACACACGGAAGGGGCAGCCAAGGTTCAGGGCTGAGGCCAGACAAGGTTAAGTGCGTAGCAGTACGAGCAGGGCCTGTCACGACCTTCAGGGTGCACATTCACGGTGCATAGTAAACGATTATTCGCTGAGTATTTTTGTGCAATATATTGCTATTTAAAAACTCGTAGAAACAAAATGATATAGAAGAAAAGAAAGTACTCTCCTTCTCAAAAGTATTTTCGCCATCTCGTGTCGGGTGCAGAATGCGACTGCAACGTCGGCAGGGATGGAGGTGTAGGCGCCTCTGGTACATCGGGATATCCTTCGCCAGCTATATCTTCTAGTGGAGGGAAGCCTGTGATGTTCTGGTCAAGATGTTCTAGATTCGTATCTGTTTCAGATAACCCAGTTCCATCAGCCACTGGTCGCCACGGAACTTGCATTCCTGGGGGTTGTCCCGGCAGAAGGGTCGCTTGTTCAGCGCCTAAGAGTACTTGCGTGCCCTCATCATGTATCGTTCTGCTTGAGCCCGCTTCCCAGGGACTGGTCGCAGTGGGACTCTTTTGGGTTGGGCGATCGCCACTGGTTTCTGCCGCCTTTGCGATACGTTCGCTCTTCTTCAACCACCAGGTGCGTCTCTGCTCTTCCGTAGTAAGAGGAAGATTTTTCCATTCTTCAATTTTATGGGTTTTGGCTTGCTTCTGGCCATACTCTGCTAACAACCGACGATCCCTCTCGGGAAGGCGCTGAGGTTCGATCGGTACACGCGACTCGTAGATGGCCGAAAGAAGCTCCAAAACGACAATCTCAGTCTCGAGTAGTCGGTGTTCGATGAAAGATATGTACCCAGATGGTATACCTCTATTTATGGGATTAGCAAGCACCTGACAGACTTGGCGTCAGAGCACCTTTTATTGATCGGTGGGTATCGGCATAACGTGTCTGAAGAGCTACATTGCGAGCATCTCGGCAGCTCACGGTCACACTGAAGAGCGCCTTAGCTGGTGTTTGAAATTGTTAAAATGAAGCTAACCTTTGACTTTTTGTTGCGACAGGACTCGCAGGCGATCGGATGAAATGTACTACTACTCGTTTCATCCTAGACTGTAAGTATGAGAATACTGCGGGGGACAAGGATCTGCGGCAATTGGGAATTACGCACCATTGCAACAGCGATTCCACAGCATGCTGGCGAAAGCGCGATTCTATCTTCGTGCTCCGCCGGACTTGACTTTGTCCTAGCGCGGACGTTCCGCTTCTTGCCCAAGGCAGGCTTGCGCGGGGTAGACGACACTAATCTCGAAATGTTGCGAGAGAGACAGCATAGCCGGTAGACATGACGCATTACATAACTTTGAATATCTAATTTGTTGCTAAAGGTACATTGATTATGCAAACTCTCTTAGCCTAAGACAGATGCGCAGATGGATTCCCATGAAATCCCGTCACAGATTTTAAGTTAATACCGCCCGCATCGAGCCAAGAGTTGTACTGCAGGAGTATGCCTGAAGCTAGCCCTTGGGAACTTTCGATGGTAAAACAAGTATCGGTTGGTTGGACCTCATATGTTATGCATGGCATTGGTATGCATACGCTAACTCCAGGAGTGACATTTGCGCAGTCCTTGATCAAATCCTGACTGCCCATATATACTCCCGCAGCAGATATACTATTTCCTTTACTACCGATTCCTATATATCGCCTTGCTTAGTCGGTTATTGCTTGCCAGTGATGCAGTATGGGATCGGCGAGGGCTTTGTGCTTTTTTCTAGAGGTGGAGGTATGTTGGACCGCATTCTGTGTACACATCCTCTAGCTGGCTCAACACTCAGCATCTGGGTCCCACCACGCACCAGGGCCACCCGCTGCAAAGTTGACAATTTGCTTAATAAAATATATATCCAATTCAAACCATAGTTTCAGAACGTGATTTGGAGACATCCTTAACCACCCAAAGTACCGCTGTGGGCCAAATCGCGGGTTCTTTGGCACACAAGCAGCGGCGTCGTAGTCCGCTGCTACACATTTGATCATGCCAAGGTTAGGGTTCGTCAACACCTCCCTATCCGCTAATATAAAGATTCGCCATGGGTCCCTGTCTGTGTTCATCGGCTGGCCTCCCGTTCCATTGTGATAAAGCTGCCGTACTTCTTCCAGCGCCAAGCCGTCCAGGACCGCAGGATCTGAGCGAGCATCAGGTTTGAAGAGTTCTTCCGTTTTAGCAATCATGGCAGGATCATCGGTAGGTTTTACATTCCCTCTGATTGCATCCTTAGCGCCATTGGTGATGGACTGGATCAGCTCGTCCCATCGCTGATCAGATCCGGGCTCATAGTAGGTTCGATAGATGGTAAAGCCCCAAGGTTGTAGGAAACTTAGTGGATGTTTGAACTCCGCCTCGCTTATGATCTCGCCGTCGGGCACTTTGCGCAGATTTTCCAAAAGACCCTCGATCCGGGAACCCATGGTGATATTGACAGGCGGTAACGTGATGCGGCTCACGCGGGCAAACCAAGATTGTGCAAACTGCTGGAAGATATACGGTGATGAAAAGACGACTTGGAGAGTGACTGTACTAAGTCTCTAGAAAACGCATGTACACATACAGGCAATTGACGCTATACCGGACAGGTCACATGCTCCGTCCTTAGCTAATGTTGCAGAAATTGAATGACTGCCCTGTATCGAACAGAGCAGCGCAGGTAGACATGTGATGAGCCCAGCTCGTAGGCTCACCTCAAACTAGTTCAGAACAATATAAATGTACTAAATACCGAAAACGAGCTCGTCAAGCAGTGTTCACATGCGCGATACAAATATTTACCCGGAGTGTCAACCTTTCAAGCATTCTCTGCGTCCCACCACACGCCAGGTTCATCATCTGTATGCTCAGCAATTTTCCAAATGAAATGATATCCAGTTCCAGCCACAGAGTAAAAAGGTGCGCAGAGGAACATCCTTAGCCACCCAAGGTAACGCTGTCCGTAATACCGCGTATTCTTTGGCACGAAATCAGCAGCTTTATAATCTGCCCCAACACATTTGATGCTAGGGTTTGCCAATACTTCTTCGTCCACCAAAACAAAGACTCGCCATGAGCCCCTGCCTGAATTCAGTGGCTCACCTCCTGTGTCGTCGTGGTAAAGCTGTCGTACTTCTTCTAGCAAGGGCCCTGCAGGTACGCCTGCGTTGCTATACTTCTATCGGATACGAAGACTGGAAGTAGGCTAGAAGGATGGGAAATAAGAACGCTGCTTCTAAGTCTATGAGTATAGCAGCATACTACGCAAATTACTTTGCTTTTACTAGTTCAAAGTGAACTGTACGCGATGACACCTCGTATACACAATACGAACAATGGTTGGTGTGTCTCACACTCCATATGCACACCCGTTGTTATGAACAAACAGGGCCCGTGTGAGTAAATCGAGCGTATAACCCTCTTCTCAGCCCAAGACGCAGCAGTACCACATTTCGCCCGCTGGATGATCTCGCGGCTCGTCCAAGCTTACACAACATACCTTCAAGTGTCAGGAGGGAAACATCACTTCACAAAACATGGGTTGAAAACAGGTCAAAGAAGCAGAATACAGTAATTAGCTCCATATACTGGACATTCTAAGATATTATTTCTCTAAGTATAGACCAAGTCTTAAGAAGATGAATTGACAGAATCTTCAAAAGTTCGCCTCTCCTTTTATGTTCGTATGCTGAACGGTGAAAACAGCTACTATAGCTGCGAGCATCTACTAACCGATTTTCCGAGTGGCACAGATCACATAGTCACCTTGATTCCACCGGCTGGAAAAAACAAGAGACTAATCATGTTTTTTGTATGGAACTTAAGCGTTGCACGAGCACTTGGGGCGGTTGATGACCTGGCCGATCTGGAGTTGCTCAGGGATCTGGCCAGGGTTGGCAGCCTCAATCTGACCGATGCTGATGCCAGCTTTCTGGGCAATGGCGCTGAAGGTGTCGCCAGAGACGACGGTGTACTTGTCGTTGGTGCAAGAGCAGCCTTGGCAGACGGGAATGATGGTGGTGTTACCGGCGAAGATGGCGTCAAAGCTAGCAAACCTGCCCTGGTTCGCGTTCTCAAGGGCGTCGAGCTTGAGGTCAAAGTTGTTGGCGATGAGAGTGAAAGTGTCCTTGGGAATGACCTGGTAGACAGGAGGGTTGACGGACAGACCCTTGACGCAGTCCTGAGTGCCAGTTGGCTGGAGAGCGTTGGAAAGGCAGCTCGTCTTGTCGATGGTTCCAGTGCAGTTGGCTGGGATAGTGATTTTCTGGCCGGGGAAGATCTTGTCGGGGTCGCTGATGTTGTTGACTGCGACGATGTTGCAGGCACCGGAACCGAACTTGTCGGCAATGGTTGTGAGGGTGTCACCAGAGGCGATAGTGTAGTTCTGGAGCGTGAGGGGCTTGCAAGAGACGTTGGGGAACGGGCTCTTGCCTGCTGACCGTTAGTAATCTAACTTACAAAGGATAGTTATTTACACTCACAGTCCTTGTCCTGCTTGTAGGGCATGGCAGAGACGGAAGCGGCCAAGACGGCGACAACGGCGAAGAGAGTGGACTTCATTTTGGAAGATAATAAATAGACCGTTTAGGTAGTACTAGTTGATAATGAGCGTGGGTATAAAAGAGTGTGTGGATTAAAGCTGAAAAGCAGACGATGGGCAGTTGTAGCTGTGAAGAATCAGTTAATGGGAGCAGAACATGAACAGCTATATACTCATACACCCCTTCCTGACTCTGATCAGCATCATGACATATTTTTAGTCTTGTCACTGGAAAACGTCGTGATTTCGGTGCTTATTGCGAGATGCTTCCAGAGACTCGGTCTAATGTCACTTCCCTGTTAACCACATTGGCTGTCGCTCCGCCAAGCATCTCGAAGTCACCTCTCACTCATTTCGTTTTAGCCCTTGACTAAGACTTGTAGACCTGTCAGCTTACATGTGCATAGCTTCGCGGGTTTGATTTCGGGCAATATCATCCGGCTGACAGATCCGCCTTGGGTCGATCATTGACGTATGAATGCACATTGGTAGAAATATTAATTGGTTCTCAAGTTGATCAAAAAGCACGAAAGACAGTGAGTGTTAGGTCTGCTCATCAACAGAGGTGCATGTAGACTTGAATGCAGAATCCCAAAATGGAAAGTGGTGTAAGAAAACGCTCGCGTTGTGGGTCATCTCAGTAGCCATGGTCAACTGGCCATCTTACAGTTTGAAAGCAAAGCGTTGACAAAGTGCTCTCAGACGCATACGACACGGGTTGGAAATTGCTGCAATAAGGCTTGAGCTGAAATCTTAGGGGACATGACAAGGTGTGGGAAATTGCATCAACGTAAACCAAGTTAAGGTTCACAGCGAGCGGTTTAAACCGGGGTAAGCTCATGTTGGTATCAATTGGAATAGTCCGACGCTTGATCTTTTCGCAAGTGGTAGGGCCATTTTGAGTTATTCCGGATTAGATCCGCCTTAACCAACCCACCCCAGTAAGCTTAATGCCGTTGCGAACCTTGCGAACTATTCCGACGACTTCCATATTTTCACGATACAAATCTTGGTCGCATTTGGAGCTCCCAAGAGTATCGTTTCGGATCCGTGGAAGTCAACCGACTCTTCACTCTTGCCCTTCTTTTGTAATCGGCGACTTGGTTTGCTCCGAAGTTACCAAGTCAGTTGCAATCATTTCATTCATTAGGATTATCGGTAGTCTATGACTCGGCATCTGGTGATCCCCACAAACGACAAGGGTTCCCGGTTGTCACGGCTTCTTCTTGGCGACAGCTTCAAGTTGATTTGCAACGGTCGGCTCGTAGGGCGGAACCCGCATAGTGGTGAGTCACGTACCGGCTTACATCTATATCCAAGACTGTATCAGAGGCGGTAAATGAAATCCAAGAAAAGTATTGAGTAAATTGATACTTCATTATGACCAAAAAGGGGTTCTCCGTGGTCCGCCTTCCCGTCTGTTCTGGGCTGACAGCTAAGTAAGCTGGGCCGATATCTGGGCTGGCGCTGATAGCCGGACGCTTAGCTAACAACTAGTAGCGAGACTAAATCATTGTTAGTGCGCCAAAGGAAGTGGGTTAGGGTTAGTCAATCAAATGCAGCGCTAATGTAGCGGACAGATACAGGGGATTGCTATTATTCTATGGATGAGATTGACCATAAGATGTTTTCTTTGGGTCGATTACTTCGCGTTTGCTCATACAACTGCATCTCTCAGAAGTGACCTGACGTGCAAATACATAGGGCTGGAATTGTGGGGCAATACGAATAGCAAATATTCGAGAGAGCGCTGTAGTGAGAAACGGGCCGTCAAGTGGCATGGGAAGGTGATGCGAAATCGTTCGGGTGGAGTGATCGTCGCAGATACAGGATCTGTAGCTTTGCTAGGGCCGCATTCTCAAAATGCTCACGTAAAAGTTCCGGCTTACCTATATAGGTACTCCTACCTTCTCCCAAAACACGTCTCTCGGTCTTTATTCTTTGCCAAGGGCCAAGACACAATGTCAGATGAAGGTCCAACATGCAGTTTGCTGGGACAGAACGATTGGCATACGCGCCCCAAAAGTAGTGATCGTCACTGGTGGAATGAACCACGGAATGGGTATCAGATTGCTTACGGCCGCGATTCGGAAGACGCCCCCTATCTCAGGGCCGGATGTGGCTGCTCAGCAGCGTACACTGAGAGCAGCATAAACATGACAGATTCTTTCCGCCTATTCCTTACGCGTGAAGTGACGCTTCACCCTGTCAGCGACATTCAGTGCATCAGAGCTTATATGCCGAATATCGAAGTATATGGTACAAACCAGTTGCGTGGTTCCCATCTTTGTTAGTCACGAACAACTGTCAATGTTCACCGGGTGGCAGATCGGCACGCTGAGATCCGAGTTCAACAGGGCGGTTCCTGGATGGAGATGACGAGAAGAGTTGTGAACAATGCTTGTGTGGTGATGGAAGGCAATCTCGGTGCAACCTGGACCTGGGGTTCTTACAAGCCCGGAACCGCCAAGCATGACGTACGATAGCCTTATGGTATGTACTTGGTAGATTTGACGGCGGGAGGCATCACCAATGTTGTCTCAACATAGGTTCCAAGTGCATAGTACTATGTACTCACACATATACTACAATACAGCCAGGCCAGTACATATGCCTGGACTTCGTCAATGCCATCACCAGCAACAGATTCGCTACCCCTGCGTTGCCCTACCTAGCCGCGTATGCACATGCGCCTGGGAAATTACTCCGTGCCGTGTCGGTACTCGTGGGTGCATGGACCACTTCTTCATCCAAAGTCGAAGCTGAGCTGACATCGTCTTACTCCGCGCCGGACCCGGCTGGGTTTCCTCGACAGCCTGTTGGCACCAAGAAGCTTCGATAGACCCCTTATCCACAAACAGTCTTTCTGAACATCTTACGCGTTCGCAACAGTAGAAGTTAATAGGTTCCTGCAAAGTATATATGTACAGATCTTCAGATGAACTTGACAACGGCCAATGAACCAGTACCGATAAACTCAATACAGAGTACAATACCCATTAATCATATTAAGCTTTGCTCGGTTTTCGAGCGGCCGTTACTAGTCGCGTCGGCGTGGCTGCCTGCATGCTGGGAAAGGTTCCATTTGGATGGATACTTCAATGAAGCGATAACAGGAAATTAATTGACGCAATCGTACCTCATGACGATTCTTCTATTCTTTTCATATCAGGGGGCTCAATTTTATTTTCTGAATTCAAGATGCACATGGGGTCGTAGGAATGACAAAAATGGACACTCGCTACGGCCAAGTGAACGCCCGTTCATGTACATACGAACCTACTGCCCAGACCCACTACCGACCGCATGATCCCAGCCCATAATGTACAGTCAGTATAGCCACAGAAACAAGCGCCACCAAATTCAACAGCAAAGTAAAGATCCAGTATACATTTCCTCTCGTTCTCTACTGAAACACTGATATCCAACATCACCTCATTGTTGCCACCCTCGTCAAATCAAGTACCGCCTGACAAAAAAAGATAACTTATTCTGAAACTAGACTTAACGTGGTTCACAAGCGAGTCGGCCACCCAAGCGAGTCGGCCACTTTGCTCCGACGCGTTAACGTCAACACTATAACACGTAATGACTCAAC